AAGAATATACAGGGGAAAGAACATATTGTGGGGATCGTGTGATAGCTATTTGTACTCTCAATTCCTTCATGTCTACTTCTCAGTTCCTTTCCTTCGTGTGTTCTTTTTTTTTTTTTTTTAAGTTTATTTCTTTATCTTGGTGAGAGGAGTGGGGTGAGGAGCAGGGAGGGAGAGAGAATCCAAAGCAGGTTCCATGCTGTCAGCACAGAGACCAGCTTGGGCCACAAACCACGAGATTATGACCTGAGCCAAAACCAAGGGTCGACACTTAACCAACAGAGCTACCCAGGCGTCCCAGTTCATGTGTTCTTTTAGCTTATTCCCACTTTTTTTGGCTTGCCTTCTTTCTGGCAACCATTTTTATTTTAAATTATTGTATACAGATGCAGAAATTACCTGACTGGAACTAACTGCAGAATTATGGAAATTAAAGAAATCACAGGATGCTGAACTGTTGGAAGACTGAATTGTTTGCTACTTTTAATGGAGCAAAAGCTTTATATACTACCGTAAAGCTTACCCTTTCATAGTGTACAATTCTGTGGCTTTTAGTATCTTCACAAAGTTGTGCACCTAGTACCACTATCTAATTTCAGAACATTTTCATCACCCCAAGAAGAAACCCTGTTCCCATCAGCCATCACTCTCTATGCCTTTTGCAAAGTGATATCCAATTGTCCACCATCAATCATTTGTTGAAAAGAATGTTCTTTCTCCCATTGAATTGTCTTGGAACCCTTGGAAAAACAAATTTACCAGACATACGGGTTTATTTCTGGACTTTTGATTCTATTCGGTCATTCTATGTCTATCCATATGCTACTATCATACTGTCTTGTTTATTGTAGCTTTGTAGCAAGCTTCTATTTTTTTTATTTATTTATTTTTTATTTATATATGAAATTTATTGTCAAATTGGTTTCCATACAACACCCAGTGCTCATCCCAAAAGGTGCCCTCCTCAATACCCATCACCCACCCTCTCCTCCCTCCCACCCCCCACCAACCCTTAGTTTGTTCTCAGTTCTCAACAGTCTCTTATGCTTTGGCTCTGTCCCCCTCTAACCTCTTTTTTTTTTTTTTCCTTCCCCTCCCCCATGGGTTCCTGTTAAGTTTCTCAGGATCCACATAAGAGTGAAACCATATGGTATCTGTCTTTCTCTGCAGCAAGCTTTTAAATGAGAAAGTAGGAGAACTCCAATTTTGTTCTCTTTCAAGACTGTCTTGTCTATTCTGGATCTCTCATGTTTCCAAATGAATCTTAGAATCAGCTTGTCAATTTCTGTAAAGAAGGCAGTTGGGATTTTGGTAGGGAATGCACGGAGTCATAGATCACTTTGAGCAGTACTGCTCTTCTAAAAATATTAAGTCTTCCAATCCATGAACCTGGATGTCTTTCCTGTGTTTTGTTGTTGTTGTTTTAGGTTTTCTTTAATTTTTTTCAACAAAGTTTTGTAGTTTCCAGTGCATAAGTTTTACACTACTTTTGTTAAATTTATTTCTAAATATTTTATTCTTTTAGATATTATAAATGGGAATTATTTTCTTAATTTCAGATTGTTCATTGCTAGTTCATAGAAATATTACTGATGCTGTATATTGATCTTATATCCTAACACTTTGCTGAATTTCCTTATTTTAAAAGGTTTTTTTTTTTTTTTAGGATTTCCTTAATCCTTAAGATTTTTTATACATATGATCATATCCTCTGTGGAAAGAGATGGTTTTACTTCTTTCCAATCTACATTTCTTCTATTTCTTTCTCTTGTCTAATTGCTTTGGGCTTTACCCTTTTAAGGCATATACAGTTTCTTGAGTGACTTCCCTCTTTTTTCCTCATTAGAATAAATTTTTTTGGGAGGGACAGGATATAGGAGGAAGAGAGAAAATGGAGCTCTTTGAAACCAAAATATGCAACCATGGCTTGATTTCCAGTGAGCCTCACATCTTCTCAGTGGAAATGTCTTCCTTCACAGCAGCTGGGCCCAGGAATTTTCTAGGGGAACCTGTGAAATCTGTTTTCTTCAGATTTTGGATGCAAGTCTGACTGAGCCCAATATCCACCCTTCCTTGGCTGTTATGTAGTCTAAGACAACATGGCCACTTCCCCCCATGCCAGTCTCTTCTCCTTTTTTGGCCAACTCTTTCTTGCTGGTTAGAGGTAGAGTGAGCACCCATGGCTTCTCTCATAGCATTCTCTGTCTTCTGAGAAATAAAATTGTCAGTAGGACAATAGGTTTATCAGCTGCTCTGCTTCTATCCAAGGAGACATTGACAAATAGCTCCATTACATCTGAAGTCTCCTTCTGGGCCAGTTTTGTGACCCATGTTAGGAGGGTCTACCAACTCTCCCTCCATACACATCCAAAAATAAGTGTAGTTTTTAGCACTCAGGCTCTTCATCCACCCCATCTAGAAGAAATTTTTCTTAGAACAAGGCACACATTTAGTTTCCTCACTCCAGACGAAGTTCTGGCTTACCACATTTTAGAGGAGCTCTTACTTCTTCCCAGTCATGGGACAAAAGGAAGGAAGAGCACAGTTTTATTAAAGGTATGTAATGCAAACCAAAAGCCTTGCTGAATGGCTTTAGAATGAGAGAAGTTTCCTTCCTATCAGTGCAGGCTGTGTGTTACCAGTGACCTCTTGGGATATACAGGAAGCCAAGTGGATGAGAATCTTTTACTATGTGGATAAGTTCACCCCACAGCCAAGTATGAACTTCTAGTGTTCAATGGCTAGTAGCAAACAATCCAGCCACTGAGCAGTTTCAGAGAAAAGACAGCCATGGATGCAAGCAGGATCCAGGATGGTCAGCACCCTGGGCCAACCCCTCTGTTTCCCAGTGCCTGGGAAGGCTCTAGAGAGGAGCTGCCCTTTCATTTGGGGATTTCCTCCCAGGAGTTAAATCTCTTCCTCCTAGCTCCACCATGAAACCAAACTCAGGTCTCTGGTGCCTCACCAAGCTTCCTGTCCACCTTGATTTCCTTCTAACCTCACAGGTCCAGTTTATGCCCACTGCCTAAGGACAAAGTCACTTAGGTAAAGGAAGGTCTCAAAAGCAAGTGACTTCTTGGTAAGGTGACTCCTCCTTCACCCTGAGGTTGCACATGGCTCCAGTGCCTGAGAAGTGGTCCATTTGGATGATGTTGCCAGGAGTCAAATCTCAAAATCCTTCTTAAAACTATGCTTAGCTATTCCACAAAGCTCCCTTCAAATGATGAAAAAGAAGAGTGATGCTATGAGAGCAGAGAGATGGCCACATCACATCCAGGTGGGTACAGCACCAACAGGGCTCCCTGATCACACACAGCATAATAAAGCCTCATGGCAGAGACAGACAGGAGGAGCTGCCCAGGGTGCTGTGCATATGTCACTGCTAATGTCTGCAATTATTGTAATTACAATGCTAGCTCCTTATCTTTGACCTGTATATTTCAAAAGGCCCACCTCCCACTCTTGTCAGTCACAATACTTCATTTTCCCATATACTTAAAAACTGGTTATATTACTAAGACCTTAAAGGTATTGTTTGTCATCTTTTAGGGTACCAGTGACTATAACAATTCTATGGTTTGAGTGTCTAGGGTGATATACTGAATATTATTTTCACTTTATTAATAAGCACCAAATAAATCAACTTAAAAATTATTTCCCTCAGTCTTCCTTTACATTCACTTTACTATCTAGAACGATATTTCCATAGAGTATATTTGCTTTGCTCATTTCATTCATAGTGTATCTGTAGGTCTGGATTGAGCATATTTCCTGTAGTGACAAGTACTCTATTTGTAGGAACTATTTAGGTCACTGGAGTGGAGAAAAAGAGGCCGCTATTTAATAGAAATGGCATATATCCAAATATAGATGCAGTTTTCTGAACATCTATTGAACATCAATAATGATGAGATTGTTACAGTTTCCCAAACCCTAGACCCAAACCTTAAATGATTAGTCACTTTGTTTTAACTGACACAGGGTTTAACCCAGGAAAACAAGTTTCCTAACCAAAGAAAGTAAGTCTTAAAAGTATCTTACTTCTGCTTTAGAAGTAACACAGTCTCTTCAAAAGGCAAGTTGTTTCAATGTAAATTATTTCCCAACAAAAATCGCTTCGGAGGAAGCTATATGATTTGAACCCTAGCGCATGCACAGTAACTGCTTTTAGAGACAGAGCGAGCATGACAAATATTTTCAGTTGTCAAGGGAGGAAGGAATGACCCACCTAAGAAATGGAAACTAACGAATAGTAATATGACACTCCCCCTTGGTTCCACTGGGCGCTAGCTGGGGCTTCTACACACAGCTAACTTCCTTTGGTCGGATAAAGGCGAGGCTGTGCAAGAGCTGAATAAAAGCGGCCTCTCTACCCACTGGCCCCAACAATGTGTTGGGGGATGGCAAGCAAGGACCTCAAAAGAAAGGGGCACTGGAAATACACTCTACTGTTGCCATTCATTCATTCGTCATGCGCTGGGGGCTTAATTCTCCAACTATGACTCAAGAGCCCATTCTGATACCCCACACCTCTGTCCCCATTTCTAGCCCTAGGCCTCACTCGCTCATCAAGAAGATGCTTATTATAGCTTCGCTCTTCTCCCTCCCTTCCCCGGGTCCCCAGGCCACGGTGACAGGATAAAGCCAGCCAGAGGAGTGCTTTAACAAGAGCAAGGAAAGAAGTCTCAGAGTACGCAGTGAAGGGGTTCCAGGGACCTTCCTGCCAGCGTGGGGTAGAGCCAGCCCCTTCTGGGGCGGCCGCGCCCCGGGGCGAGGCTGCGGGCACCTGGGCACCGCGCTAGGGGCGGGAACCTGAGGTCACGCCGGAGCTGGAGGGGGAAACAGCAGCGAGGGGATTCCGCACAGGGGAAGTGGGCGCTGCAGGATGTCCGAGGGCGGCGGGACGCTGGTAACAACACGCGCACACGTGCTGAGGACCGCTAGCACCTAGGTGGTGGGAGCAGGGGTCCCGGCGGCATTGAGGAGCCGGCGGGGCGGGTTACCTGATGAAGGTGGTCTTGCCCGTGCTGTACTGGCCCACCAGCAGGATCATGGGCTTGTTATCGAAGTCGGCGTCCTCCAGCGCTGGCGAGTGGAACTCGTGGAAGCGGTACGCCTCCTCCAGCGGCAGCACCTTGCGCAGGTAGAGCGAGCGCAGGCCCCCAGTCACCGTCTGCACTGCGTCCGCGCCGCCCGCGCGCTCGCGCCCGCCAGCCTGCCGCCCCATCCAGCTGAACATCCTGATGCAGCCGGTCCGCCCGTCGCCGGTTCGTTCCCCTCGCCCACCCTCTCACACCCCGCGCTCAGTCCCCGCTCAGGGCTCGACCCACCCCGGCTGGCACTGAGCTGCTCCGGCCCCTCTCGCCGCCGCCCGAGCTGGCCCCGCCTCGCGCAGTCGCAGCCAATCGCTGGCCTCTGCGTCACGACAGCTCGTTTACTATTCAGAAGGCTCTCTCAAGTCCTTCCTCATTGGGCCGCTGCCAGCGCGTCTCAGCCAATGGAGAGGAGGTTCTTAATGAATTATTGATGACGGAGTCAGTCGGCGGACTGGCGGGGGAGAGGGTGTCTCCACAGCCCCGGGGCTCAGACTGGTCTCGGAAGCGCCCCCTTAGGTCGCCGGGGCCCCACCTCTGGCCAGGTGGCGTCGGCTTCCGGGCAAATCTGAGCTGGCAAAAATGAGCCTCCGGAGGCTGCTGAGTCTCCTAGGAAGTTTACTCTTCCCAGGCTTATGATACTGGGGACAAAAGTTCGGAAAGTTGACAGACAGGTTCTTTCTACTCTTTGGAAGGTTATTATTTACATATTTTGTTAGTGAAGAGATCTTGACTCAAGGACATACTGACAATATTTGACTAAGGGGAAGAAGACTCCAATCTGCTTGGGTAGATGTTTCTCCTACTTCACACTGCCTCCACTAAGTTCTGGATGAATTGAAGGCCTCTTGCCCTTAGTTTTCTTTATTTGATTTTCTGTAACATTAAAGATTTAATCATCATCCTCATTATTACCACCTAATTACCACATGTTGACATGTAAAAGAGTTACTGTTACCTCTTAGTTGTCTCTGTTTCCAGATTAAAAGGACGTATCAACATTGAGACTGGGAGAAGCAATCAGCCATCACTTTTGGCGTTCTAGGCAACAGCTTGAGAATATTTCTCAGTTGTTTTAGAGCATTTCTCAAATGTCACCCACGGAGCCACCTGCATATAAGAATAACCTGGGATACTTGTTAAAATGCAGATTTCAGGTCATCACCCCCAGACCCACTGAGTTAAAATATTGAGGAGGGATGGAGCTCAACAAGTGCTCCCAGGTGATTCTGACGTACCCTAAATTTGGGGGAATATGATGCACAATAGTACTTCTCTAACTTGATAGAAATGCAGATGCTGATTCCGGGGTGTGGGGCATGGGTTGAGACACCAGACTGCATTTCTAATAAGCTCCCAGGTGCTTCCAATGCTGCTTGTCCATGGGCTATACTTTGAATGCGAGGGCTGTGGTGAAGAGAGAACAGGACTTGGCATCAAAAGACCTGGGTCTGAATCCTGATTACATATATTAATGGCTATGTGGCTTTAAATGCAACGAGCTACCTCTCTGCCTCAGTTTCCTTGTTTGTAAAAGTGGGAACTCCTTTGGAGTTGCTGTGTGGGTTAAATATTTAGAGGAAGCTGTATGTAACTAGGGAAGTGAAAAGAAAGCCAAAGGAAAATGAACTTAGATATTGTCTCATGTCAAAATAAAACAAAGATTGAAATGTGAAAATAAAGGAAAACCATTGAACTACTAGAAGAAGGTATTTGTGAAGATTTATAAAATTTTGAAAGGGAAAGCTTTTCTGATCAAAACCAAATACAGAAATTATGAAAATAAAGGTTGACAGGTTTGTCAACAAAAAAGTAAAAGCTTTAGTGTATTAAAAAAACAAACAAACAAACCCATATAAACGTACTCTTTACCATATGATCCAGAAATTGCACCCCTTTGTATTTATCCAAATAAGTTGAAAACATGTCTGCACAAAAATTGCACATGGATGTTTATAACCCTTTATTCACAATTGCTAAAACTTAGAAGCAACCAAAATATCCTGTACTAGGTATACTTCACTATGGTACAACCAGATGATGGAATATTATTCAGTGCTAAAAAGAAACACTCTATCAAGCCATGGAAAGACATGGAGAAACCTTAAATCCACATTACTAAGCAAAAGAAGACAATCTGAAAAGGCTACATGTAACAATGTGACATTCTGGAAAAGGCAAAAATATGAGGACAGTAAAAAGATCTGTGATTGCCAGGGGTTCAGAAAGAGGGAAGGGTGAATAGGAAGAACAAGAAGATTTATAGGGTAGTGAAATAATTCTGTACGATAATGTAAAGGTGGACACATGTCATTATACATTTGTCCAAACCCACTGAACATATAACACCAAAAGTGAACCCTAAAGTAAACTATGGATTTTGGGCGATAATGATGTGTCAGTGTAGACTAGGTTCATTGATTATAATGAACTGTGGTGTGGGATATTAGTAGTGGGAGGCTATGTACTGAGGAGGCAGGAGGTGCATGGAAACTCTCTGTACTTTATGGTCAATTTTGCTATGATTCTAAGACTGCTCTAAAAACTTCTATTAAAAATAGTATATATAAAAAATAAATTCATAAACAAAGGTAAAAGGCAAAAGACAAATTGGGAAAAATATTGCCAGACATATATAAGAAATATATTTAATGAAGGATATTAGACCTTTAAAAAGCTACCATAAAATTATTAAGAAAGAAATGAATACTCCATTATAAAATGAGCAGAGGACATTGACAACTAACAAAACAAACATTAAATAATCCTAACCTCCATTAATGATCAAAGAAACATAAATTAAAAATAAATAGGTAACATTAAGAATGGTAGACTTTTGGGGCACCTGGGTGGTTCGGTTGGTTAAGTGTCAGACTCTTGATTTTGGCTCAGGTCATGGTCTCATGATTCGTGAGATCGAGCCCTGAGTCAGGCTCCACACTGACAGCACAGAATCTGCTTGGGATTCTGTCTCTCTGCCCCTCCCCTGCTTGCACTCTCTCTCTCTCTCTCAAAATAAATAAACTTAAAAAAGAAAAAGAATGGCAGACTTTTATTTTTTTTTTTTTTGAATTTTTTTTTTTTAATGTTTATTTATTTTTGAGACAGAGAGAGACAGAGCATGAACGGGGGAGGGGCAGAGAGAGAGGGAGACACAGAATCGGAAACAGGCTCCAGGCTCTGAGCCATCAGCCCAGAGCCTGACGCGGGGCTCGAACTCACGGACCGCAAGATCGTGACCTGGCTGAAGTCGGACGCTTAACCGACTGCGCCACCCAGGCGCCCCAGACTTTTATTTTTTTTTAAGACAATGCCTAATGTTGCCAAGAGTGTAGAAAAAGGTACCATCTCAGACATTGCTGGATATGATGCAAACTGGCACTTTTCTGGAGTCCATACTTATCAAAAATCTTGAAAATGCACATTCAAGTCTTCTGCAACATCATACTTAATGGTGAAATAACTGAATGTTTTCTAAGATTAGGAACAAAGTAAAGATGTCTACTCTTATTACTCTGATTTAATGTTATACTAGAGGTTCTAACCAGTATCCAGAAAAGCAAAGCGTATTCCAGGTTAAATAAGAAGAGGTAAAATTGTCTTTATTTGCAGAAGATATGACTATTTATGTAGAGAATTCTATGGAACCTACAAAAAAAAAAAAAAGCTACTAGGACTAATAAGTGGGTTTAGGAAGGGTACTGGATAGAAGATACATATACAAAAATCAGCTATGTTTTTGTATACTGGGAGTGAATTGGACAGTGAAATAAAAAAATCAATGTCATTTGTAATAGATTCAAAAATATGAAATACTTAGAGATAAATCAGATAAAAACTGTACAAGGTGTATACACTAAGAACCACAAAGCATTTCTGAGAGAAATAAAAAAGGCCTAAATAAATAGAGATATATACCATATATCATGCCTATGGATCAGAAGATTCAATATTGTTAAAATGTCAATTTTCTCCAAACTAATATATAGATGTAGTGCAATCCCAGTAGGCTTTTATTTTTGTAAGAACCGACAGGCTGATTCTAAAATTTATATGTAAATGCAAAAGACCTAAAGTAGCCAAAATAACTTTGAAAAAATTAACAAAGTTGGAGGACTTACGCTACTTAATTTCAAGACTTATAAAGCTATGTAAATTAAGACAGGTGGTATTGGTAAAATGATAACAAATAGAGTTCATAAATAGACCCACACATATATAGTCATTTGATTTTTGACAAAGCGCAAAAGCAATTCAATGGATAAAGGAAAGTCTTGTAATCCATAATGCTAGAACAACTGGATATCCCATGCAAAACTATAAACTTTGATCCATGCCTTGCACTATATATAAAAATTAACCCCAAATGACTATAGACATAAAGGTAAAACTTAAAATTATGAAACTTCTAGAAGAAAACATAGTAGAAAATCTTTATGACATTATGCAGGGAAAGGTTTCTTTGGTGATACCAAAAGCATGATCCATAAAAGAAAAAAATTAATAAACTGGACTTCATCAAAATTAAATACTTCTGACCTTTGAAGGATACTGTTACCAGAATAAAAAGGCAAGGCAAAGAGTAGGAAAATATATTTTCAAGTCACATATATAGTAAAGGGCTTGTATCTAGAATATAAAAAGACCTTCTTAATTCAACAGTAAGAAAACAATCCAATTTAATGGAAAAAATATTTGAACAGGTACTTCACCAAAGAAGATGTATGGGCAAATAAGCACATAAAAAGATGTTAAACATCACTAGTCATTAGGAAAATGCAAATTAAAACTACAACAAGATACTACTACCTACCTATTAGAATGCCCAAATTAGAAGATTGATCGTATCAATTGTTGGTGACAACGTGGAGCAACTAGAATCGTCACACGCTGATAACGAAGTGTAAAATTATACAATTCCTTTGGAAAACAGTTTGACAATTTTAAAAAGTTGTTTTTAAGTTTATTTATTTTTGAGAGAGAGAGAGAGAGAGAGAGAGAGCGAGCACACATGCA